AAAGATGGATACACTTGTATTTACACACATCTTTATTGTGTTCACTATTTTACAATATTTAAATTTTCATCCATTTTCAATATATTTTCCACGATTATCATTTGACATTTCCTCTCCACTTGTTTTCTGTTCAACTCTGTTAGAATTGTATGTCAACGTGGAATGTTTCACTGATTGTCTTTATCTACTTGATGGACGCTTTAATCAACTTCAGACACTTCATGTTAATATTACTCGACTTGTTTCTTCGGATTCAACAATCAATAATAAGGTAAATTATTTTGATTAATATCTAATTTCTTTAAATGATTTAATAATATTATTTTTAATAGGAAAAATTACCTAATTTAAGATATTTTTCGTTGTATTGTGATAGATTGACAGCTGGTTATGATGAATTAATTCTACCACTTCTACAACGAATGTCAAATCTGGAACAACTTGATTTACATATTGTAGCCATTCGTGATGATAAATTTATTGATGGTAATGATTTAAAGAAAAATATTATCAATAATATGCCGCAATTGAATAAATTTGAATTTAACATTCACTCAAATGTATCTCTTGATAATCAAAATGATTTACCATCAAATGAAGATATTCAAAAGACATTCAAAGATTTTAAAAATAGTTTAGTTATTTCTTGTATTGATTTTTTTCCAAGTATAAGTGAAGGTCAATGTCATATTTATTCATATCCATATAAGATATCACATTATAATAATATAACAAATAATTTTCCAGATGGATTATTCAAATATGTTTCTGAAGTATCATTATATGATGAACGTCCCTTTGAACATGAATTTTTTATTCGAATTGAGAAATCATTTCCATTTAGGAAAAAATTAAAAGTAGATAATCAAGAACCACAAAGTAATAAACAATGTTATGAATGAAGAAATAATAATCGGAATTTGTCAATCATTAAATATCCTCATCTAACTGATCTTTATCTTGATTACAGTCATGACGATTATGCTGAACAATTTTTACTTGATTTCAAAATGTCTTTGCCAAATAATGTTTATCTTCATATCAATTATGAATCTTTACAAAGAGTAACACAGAATTTCACACGAGATGCAACACGAATCAATTGTGGTAAATTGGCTCATTTACATATCTATGGTGAATTTCCAATTACTAAAGAATTAGAAGATTATTTTCCTCTTGTAGAAATACATTCATTTTTGTGAGTTATTGTTTAAATTAAACATATTAAAAATAGATTGATTTATGTTGAAATAAAGCTCGAAAATAGAAAAAAGAATATGATGAAAGTGATGAGAGAATTCTTTTTCTAGAAAAGAAATTATTTAGAATAAAGATGTTGTGGTCTAATTATTTACCATTGTATGAGCTCAAATCTGTTTTTTTTTAGGATTGAAAAATAAATATAGTTTTTTTAACGTATTATTTTCTTTATATTCTGCTGTGAAGAGGAAAGAACATATACTTTATTGTTTCTTTACTTGTGTTGCAAGACAGAACATGTCAATGGCAAAATTTACAGTAATACCATTAAAGAATTGTTAAAGATTTAAACAAAGACTTAATATGATACTTTCAAATCAGGAGTACTAGTCTTGCTCTAGGAATCTGCAATACGATTCGATTAATTTTATTTGTTGAGCAATTTATTTCAATTTTCTTTCATAATAAACCTTTTAAATTTTCCTATTAAAATAATTTCTAGGAAATGAGAATAATGAATGTGACCTGTTTGAGAAATAATGTGTCATTCTTTCACACATTTTCTGATGTCGTATGTAATATTAATAGTCTCTATTTTAATTTTAAATCGTTTTGCTTAGCCAAAAGTGTCTGTTATTTGGCAGTTTCTATTTTTACCTAATGGTCACAGTAGGTGGTCTAGTAAGTGAGAGAATCTTTAGCTCTTCTGGCTAAAGCATAACGCTAGACAGATGAACAGGAAAGAGAGGAAAAAACGCTTATGACAATCGCTCAATTAATTGGAACTTGTTCGTTGGCATTGTCATATGAGAATCGATGGTCAGTCGGTAGCACCCTAACGAGCATAAAATCTGCTCGAATCATTCAACGAACATGAACATCAATATATCGTTCTTTTCTTTCACATCATTCCTTCCTCTTTTTTTCCTCCAAAAAAAACCGCTTCTTTTTTTCTTCTTTATTATCAACTAATAATAACTAGTCTTTCTCATTGAACAATTTTCTATTGGATAATAAAATAAAAGAGAAAAAAAAATCGAACTAGAGAGGGAAAATAAGAAATGCATCGATTCCCAAGAGCCTTGTGAGCTATGTTGTTCGGAAGTATAAGTGAGTGGGAACAACATTAGCTTAATGGAAGTAAATTTCATTCGTTAGCTGAAGCTTTTGTGAGTTCTCTTCTTTCCTAAGAAGTTGTCTCCTTCGTTTCGTATTCGAGTAGTCATCGAATATATGGTTTATATATTTTATCTGCCGTCGTCAATTATTTATTACTCTTCTTCTATCCTCTTTAATAAGTATAAGTGTTGATTTATCGTCGAACAAAATTAGTCACCTCAAATTAAGAGTCTTAGAAAACTATAACTCTATGATGATTATTATATAAGACGAAAGAAGAGACAGAGAGAGAGAGAAGCGAGCAAATCATATTTCAACCACTCATTCACTTTTCCCTCCTTACTAAAATAATAATCATTATCAATGAATAACAAATAATTGAATTTAGACCAACCATATATACACAAGCAAAAGGTCAAGTTTAACCAATAACACTATAAATCGAATCTCATCTTCATCAAATAATACAACATTTTCTCAATCATCATCATCATCATTTATTAATAATAATGATACTCCTAATATAGCAACTGATAATGATACATAATCATCATCAACAACACTTGCTTTAACAACAATGGGTTTAGCTGCTGCCGCAGCTAATAATACATCCAATTCGTCTATTACAGAGTGTGATTCAAAACGTAATCTATCATAAAAACTTGATGATCATTATGCTAGTTTTTATGCTCTAAATCGAACATTACCTCCTCCTCCTCCTCCTCCTCCTCCACCATCACTACCATCTTCAACAGGAACATTACCATTTAATATTATTAATCAATCATCAAATAATAATTTACAATTTGTTAGCAATCCAACAGGTTAATATTGAAAATAAATTAAAATTCAATATAAAATAATATCTTCTAGGTCATTTTGATAGTGGAGCATTTAAAAAAATCAAGCATGAAACTCTTTTATTAAATAATCATTCATATAATCCTCATTATCA